AATGTTTAATAGCAAATTTCTTTGACTCCATGGATTACTGATTCTTTTTAAAAAAATATATTTTATTGATTTTTTACAGAGAGGAAGGGAGAGAGACAGAGAGACAGAAACGTCGATGAGAGAGAAACATCAATCAGCTGCCTCCTGCACACCCCCCACCGGGGAGTTGCCTGCAACCAACGTACATGCCCTTGACCAGGATCGAACCCAGGACCCCCCAGTCCATAGACCGACGCTCCACCACTAAGCAAACCGGCTTCGGTCATGGATTACTGATTCTAAAGTAATTACAGACCTTTAAAAAAGCTAGAGGCAATAAATACTCGTCGGTGGCAGGAATGTGGATGAGAGGTGTGTTCCTGGGAGAGTTCCCAGTGTAGACAGAGCCTTCTTAACCTCCAATCTACATGGGAGAATATGTTTAGAAGGAGAGAAAAACATCAATGTGAGAGAGAAACATTGATACATCAATTGATTGCTTCCCATATGCACCCCCACCAGGGATCAAACCCACAATATAGGTATGTGCCCTGACTGGGAATCGAACCTGAAACCTTTTGATGTATGGGACAATACTCTAACCAACTGAGCCACCTGGCCAGGGTAAAATTTAATTTTTTTTACATCAACAATAAAGCCATGGTTTTTGTCAGAAAGAATGGGGTTTCAAAATACATGAGAACAATAACTTAATTGAAGTGACGGTTACATGACTGCATGCAATTGTCAAAATTGATAGAACTGTACACTTAAAAAGATGAATTTTACTCTATATAAATTTTTATCTCAATCAATTTTAACTGAGTACATGAGAGTAGATATTTATTTATTTATTTTTTAAAATATATTTTATTGATTTTTTTACAGAGAGGAATGGAGAGGGATAGAGAGTTAGAAACATCAATGAGATAAAAATATCTATCAGCTGCCTCCTGCACACACCCCACTAGGGATGTTCGCACAACCAACGTACATGCCCTTGCCCAGAATCAAACCTGGGACCTTTCAATCTGCAGGCCAACGCTCTATCCACTGAGCCAAACCGGTCAGGGCCAGATGTTTATTTTTAATTGAGATATAACTCACATACCTTAAGGTCCCCAATTTAAAGTGTACATTTCAGTGCTTATTAGTATATTCACAAAATTGTGAAAACATCATCACTGACTTCAAAACATTTTCATAACACCAAAAGAAACTCCTTGTTCAGCCAGGACTGGTTTGGCTCAGTGGATAGAGCGTCTGCCTGCGGACTGAAAGGTCCCTGGCTCGATTCTGGTCAAGGGCATGTACCTTGGTTATGGGCACATCCCCAGTACGGGGTGTGCAAGAGGCAGCTGATTGATGATTCTCTCTCATCAATGTTTCTAACTCTCTATCCCTCTCTCATCCTCTCTGTGAAAAATCAATAAAATATATTTAAAAAACAAAACAAAAAAACTCCTTGTTCATTAGCAGTCACTCCACATTTCTCCTTCTCTTTATTCTCTAACAACCATATATCTACTTCCTTTTTTTTCATAGTTTTTATTATGGTAAAATACACATACTTACCATCTTAACTTCTTAAGTGTACAGTTCATTGGTATTAAGTACATTCATATTGTTAAGCAACCATCACCACCATCCATCTCAAAAACTCTTTTCATCTTGCAAAATGAAACTCTATACCCATTAAGCAATAATTCCCCATGCACCCCATCAGCCCCTGGCAACCACCAATCTACTTTCTGTTTCTTTGATTTTTGACTACTCTAAGTACTTCACAAAAGTTAAATCATACATTGTCTGTCTTTTTGTGACTAGATTTCACTGACCATAATGTCCTCAAGCTTTATCCAAGTTTTAGCATGTATCAGAATGCTTTCCCTTTTTAAGGTTGAATTGTATTCCAGTGTATGTGTATACTACATTTTGCTTTTCCATTCAACCATTAATGGGCATTTGTGCTGCTTCCACATATTAGCAATAGTGATTTATAGTCTAGAGTGGCTCCCCTTATCCACAGGGGATACATTTCAAGACCACCCCCCCAAGGATGCCTAAAACCATGGATGGTAGTGAACCTTATACAGTATACAGTATGTTTTTTTTTCTATATATACATAACTATGATAAAGTTTAATTTATAAATTAGGCACAGAAAAATATTAACAATAACAAAATAGAACAATTATAACGATACATTATAATGAAAGTTATGTGGATGTGATCTCTCTCAAGATATCTTATTATACTCTACACTAGTAGGGGTGTCGAAGTCAATCAGAGAAGGGGCCAAAATCTAAAATCCAGCCTAAATCGCGGGCCGAATGGTTTACTGAACAGTCATAAACTGTCATTGTGATGGAAACGCAGCGGAGTGCAGTGATGACAGCGCGGTGCGGGCCACATTGCAAGGCCTGGCGGGACGGATTTGGCCCACGGGCCTTGTGTTTGACACATGTGCACTAGAGGCTTAGTGCACAAATTTGTGCACCAATGGGGTGCTTCAGCCTGGCCTGTGGGATCAGGCTAAAACAGGATCTCCAACATCCCCCAAAGGGTCCCAAATTGTGAGAGGGCACAGGCCAGGCTGAGAGACCCCACCAGTGCATGATCAGGGCCAGGGAGGGACCATGGGAGGACTCCAGGGCATGTCCAGCCCTTCTAACTCAGTCCCAATTGGCTATACCCCAGCAGCAAACTAACCTACCAGCCGGAGAATCTGTCCCCTGGTGATCAGTACATGTCAATATAAGATGTTGAGTGGCCTTAGCATATCATTAGCATATCAATTAGCTTTGATTGTTTGAACGACGACTGGAGACTTAGCATATTAGGCTTTTATTATATAGGATATGGTATGAATATGGTGTACAAAGGGATGATTCATTTTCTGAGTGGGTTGGAGCAGGCCAGTGTGAGATTTCATCTCATTACTCAGAACAGTATGCAATTTAAAACTTATGAATTGTTTATTTCTGGAATTTTTCATTTAATATTTTTGGACCATATTTGACTGTAGTTAACTAAAATTACAGATAAGAAGGGGGGGGGCTACTTTATTTTAACTATGCATTAGTATAGCCATCCTTGGTCTCTTTAGGTTACTATTTATATGGAATATCCTTTTTCATCCTTTTACTTTCTACCTACTTGTGTCTTTGTATCTAAATTTAGTTTTATGTACACAGAAAATATTTGGATCATATCTTTTTTTAGACATTTCAACACTTTTACTTATTTATTTTTTGTTTGTTTGTTTGTTTTTGTTAATCCTCATCCGAGGATATTTTCCCATTGACTTTTAGAGAGAATGGAAGAGAGAAGTAAAAACAGAGAGAAACACATCGATTGGTTGCCTTCTGCATGATCCCTGACCAGGGCCTGGGCCCGGGGAGGAGCCTGCAATCAAGGTACATGCCCTTGATGGGAATTGAACCCAGGACCCTTTGTTTCACAGGCTGATGCTGAACCAAATCTGCTAGGGCTGGATCATGTTTTTGTTGTTGTTGTTGTTGTTTTTCCCCAATCTACCAATCTCTGTCTTTTGATTGGAGAGTTTAATCTATTTACATTTAAAGTAAGTACTGATAAGGAGGGTCTTCTGTCATTTTGCTATTTGTTTTCTTTATGCTTTATAGATTTTGTGACCCTCATTTCCTACATTATTGCCTTCTTTTATGTTCAGTTAATTTTTCATAGTAAAACATTTAAATCTCATTTTTTGTGTGCATATTTTATAGCCATTTTCTTTCTTTTTGCCACAGAGATTTCACAATCCTATGATCAGGAGCAGCAAACAGCTATCAGAACACAGATCCCTAATATTTTAAGGACAGAGTCCTTTTTTGCACACCCTGACTCCTATAATCTACTCTTAGGATGTATGCACAGCTGCCTGTCATTGAGCTAGGGTTGGGGTGGTAGCTACTACTGTGCTAAGAGCTGAAATTTTCCAATTTAGTCTAAGCCTTCCTTTGGAAGTTGCAAGCTTTCAATAGACCCAACAGTTCCAAATAGTTGCACCATACAGATTCTGCCTATGTAATTGTTGTCTAGCTGGGGGAGTAAGATTCTTGGTGCCTTCTACTTCACCATCTTCCCAGAATACTGTCTAATTTACTTCTTTTTAAAGTAGGTTTAATGTATAATTTTAAAAGAAAACAAGAAATATTTCTTCATCTGTGACTTGAGGGAAGGATAGAAACATAGAGATAGGAACATTGGTAGGTTGCGGGGAAGAACCTTATATATGATTACTAACAGCTGTGTAGTAGAAGGTCAAAGAGAACTTTGTTGCCTATGGATACTAACAGGGGTCCTCAAACTTTTTAAAGTGGGGGCCAGATCACGGTCCCTCAGAGAGCTGGAGGGCCGGACTATATGAACTACTAATTCCTACTGTAACACCTCGGCTGCGCTCACTGCCCAAAAAAACCTGGCGGGCCGGATCAGACTCCTCTGCGGGCCGCATGTGGCCCGAGGGCCGTAGTTTGAAGACGCCTGCGTGACTGCTCTAAGCAACATTTGCATGAAGAGGAACATTTAAAATTTGGACATTTTAGATTTAATATTTGATTGACTTGTAATAGATAGGGTACAATATTTGATCTTTTGACTTTCAACTTGGACCTGAATTGTTTACCTGTACTCATCTGACAATCAAATAACTTATCATATTTGGCTCTGTCCTAACTCTGAAATTTAGTCCTGTGTCACTTTTCTAATATCAACTCCCTACTCCCTGTAATTCTAAAAACCCTGAAATTTTTGAGAACAGTACTTTTTAGGACATAACCATTTTACCATTTCAATCAATGCAACTATTCAGGATTCTGATTATCATTTTGACATATAATTTGCAATGTGGTGGATTCTCATCCTAGATCCTGTAAGTGTTGATATTCAAACCTATGCTGAATATTCTAAATTGTTGGCTTCTGTTAGATGAGAACATCTCATGGGTCACAAAGTTGTTCAACAAATTCTCAACATTGACATACTTCTTCTTTCAGGTTGACAATAAATGCCCTTGCCCAGAAACTCAATGTTTATTGGAAGGAAAAGACTTCCCAAGAGAACTTTGAAACCTCAGCCATAGCCAGGATAATACCGTGAGTAATAAATATCTCTCTATATATTATAAAAGGCTAATATGCAAAGTGTCCCCTCAGGAGTTCAAAAGGGACACCAGGAGTTAGATTGCTCGTTATGACATGTGCTGACCACCAGGGGGCAGTGTGGAATGAAGGAGGGCCCTGACTGGCAACTAGGAGGCCCCAATCAACCCTGATAACTGGCCAGGCCTAGGGAACCTACCTGTGCACAAATTTTGTGCACTGGCCCTCTAGTAAAACATAAAAGTATTTGGGAAGCAAATGGAACAAAAAAGATGGTGCTTTTCACATAAGGAAGTTTAATGCACTAAAACTGGGAAGTCACCAGTACTAATTTTATTATTTTCTAGACCTTTTCATTCTGGTTTAACACTTGTGTGGTCTAGATCATAAACATAAAGAGTTTAGTATGTTCAGTTTACCCTATAGGCAGTATGATATAGTGGAAGATGATGGACATTTAAATCAGATACTCCAGGGTTGAAAATCTGGATCTGCTTCTTAATAGTTGGATGAGCTTGGGTAAGTAAGTCACTTTACCGCTATGAATATAATAAATTAGATGATATAACATTTTTTAGCATAGTGCCTGGCATATAGTAGATATTCAGAAATGTTAGCAAACTTACCTGCTTTTTATTTCTAGTGAACATTGTTGGAATTGTACCAAGGAATTTGACAATGGAAGTAGAGAACCCAGCATATCAGAGAAAAAAAGAACTATGGATGAGGATGAAATACCTCAGTAGTCCAGGAAAGGAGCATAATACAGAGAATAGAATGTGTAACAACATATATACAGTCAGTTATACCACCATCAAGACAAAGATTAGAGTACTATTAACAGTTCATTTTGAGGTAGGCAGCCCCTTGTGTCTTTTTTAAATGGAAATCATCAGGAAAATACATGATATAAAATTTTGTTTCAAATGCTACCTGATTGCTATATAAATATCACTAGCTTATTCTAAATATCTTTCTCATGCCCAACCTCCATGGTTTTCAAAGACATAAAAGTTAAAATGAGATGCCATTTTTGATCTTTCAAATAAGCAATGATTAATGCAATGGAACAGTTGTTCATATATTGCTGGAGTGTATATACTATATATGTACACTATATATAACATATATATATATATATATATATATATATATATATATATACACACACACACACACACACACACTAATAAAAGAGAAAAATGCTAATTGACTGTACCTTCACTATACCCACAGCCAATCAAAGCAAGCATGCAAATTTACCCAACAAAGATGGCGGTTAATTTGCATATAAGGAGAGAGGGAGGAGTGAAGACTGAAAACAGCATAGAAGGAAGAGGGAGGAAAAGCAGAAAGCAAGGCGGCTGCCAGAGGGAAACCGCGGGTGGGGCTGGGTGGGCGGGCGGTGGCCGCGTAGCACATGACGCGTAGCTTGTAGGAATATTCCTGCAGTGGGCTCCTAATACACACACACACACACACACACACACACACACACACACACTATATAAAAGGCTAAGTGACCAATCATACATCTACCCATACGTCCGACCATCTGACCAGCAGGTACATATCTGGTACTGCCCCGACCCGAGGGGCAATAACGGGGGCACGTAGGAACCACCTAAGAGAATGAAACAAACAAGGAACACGAAGAACGGAGGCAAGACAAAGTTCTGATCAAGCCCCGAACTTTATTTTTTTAAATGGCAGTATATATGCAGCAGGAACAAAGGGGGGCAGGGTTGCCTATGCAGAGGGGTCTTTGGCAGTGTATAATTGGTTTAGGCACTGAGTGACAAGGTGGTAAGGTATCTGGCAACACAGGATTGGCTAACTGCCAGGGCGGTGTAACATTCCAAGGTGTAACATTCCAAAGCTGGGCTAGCTATGGGGGAGGATCAGGAAGGGGAAGTTGCAGAGATGCTAAGCGGCAGGTTAATCTTTAGCCTCTGGCCAAACCCTCAGGGCATCGCATAACTTCTGCTGGAAGGAACTTAATTCTATTTCCTTAAGACGGAGTTGCTTGTCTCAACTCTGATGGCTCCCAACATGGTACATATGATGCACACTGGCAATTTAAAAATAAACATTGACTCACGCATGTGAGACATATAAAACTTATACTGGTACCAATAGCACGCATGTGTTTCCATCTGTCTTTGTCAATGTGAATTTGTGTGGGATCTCTTATCACGATCCGTGTGGTTCAGGGCCCAGTCAGGGTCTGGTTTCTGGAGAAGGCCACACACTAAAATGAAGAGAGAAACTGGAAAATAGTTAATTTTGGAAAATGAGGGCCAGGCAGGAAGTCCACCTCTAGTGGGAAGACTAACCCATGCTCTGGCCTTTTACCATTCCTTTTATTGAGATTCTGAAACAAAGACATCTCTTAGGCGGGAAGTTCCAACAACAGAAAATCAACAAGAATTTACATTTACATATGATTAACAAATTAAAGTTGCCTCAACCACCACTATCTCAACTAGACGATGATTTAATAGCTCCGACCATTCAGAGCCATCAAGGTTGGCCAGCTCTTTCTACATTTTACTACAGGGAACAAATGTTTGGTTTTGGTTAGCCAGCTCTTTTTACATTTTACCACCAGTGACTTAACTTTAGAGTCAATGAGTTAATAGCTCTGACCTTTCAGAGCCATCAAGCCTGGCTAGCTCTTTTTACATTTTATTACCAGTGACAATGTTAGGTTTCAGTTCCCAGCAAATTTGGTTGACACTTCTATTATAAAGAAAGGGTGAATAGCAATATTAAAATATTTTTTCTAATTAGTTTCCTTTCAATGTGCACAAATCCATGCACCAGGCCACTATTATATATATTAAAGAATCTTTCTGGAAGAAGAATTGTAATAATGATGATCATTTATTGAGTATTTACTTATATTCTAGGTACTGGTCTAAATTTTCTAATTATATTTACATGTATTCATCATAAAAATCCTATGAGATAGAAAGATAATATTATTTCTTCTTTACAAATGTAGACACTGGTAACTGAGAGCTTGAGTAACTTGCTCAAGATTAGACAGGTACAAAATGGTAGATCAAAAGTTCAAATATAGGCAATTGGGCTCCAAAGCACAAGATCTTAACCATGACTCTTCAGGAAGGATGCAATTAGGATTATATTGTATAGCCTCTTCAATTACCTATTTATTACAAACACAAGCTGAAAAGCCTTTCCTACCATGGTCTGCAGTAACTTGAGTCAGGGAGTTACTGTCTTCAATGTTTGCCCATAAGAGAGTAATATTGACGTGCATCTGCAAGAGACTCTTCTGTGCATGTGCATGACTTGTATGCATACATATAAGCATAACCAATGGACACAAGACACTGGGGGTGGGGGTGGGATGAGGGCATAGGTCAGGGGATAGGGGAGACTGGGGAGAAGTCAACTGGGGGAAAAGGAGACACATGTACTACTATTTGTAATACGTTAAACAATAAACACACGCACACACACACACACACAAACAAACACAAAACACCAAAACTAATATGACCTTTCCTCTCCCCTCTCACTACTGCTGAAACTGCTTTTGCTGCTCTGGTTCTAAATAAAACAGTGGATGAAGGGAAATATATAGACACCAGGCCTGAGCTCAGAGTTTAGAAGTTCTAAAGCTGAAACAACCTGGAGCTAGGAGATAGGAAGCTATATATCCAAAAATCTGTATGAATTATCTTAGTAACAGAGCTTTAAACAAGAAGAGTACATTATATTTGAGTGGTAGAATTATGAGTGTCTTTTATTTTCTTTTTAGATCTTTCTGTATTTCCATTTTTTTCTATAATGAGATGATTATTATAACTAGAAATAAAGCACTATCTACAAAGATAAGGAAAATATTGAACTAAAATGTACAAAAAACACATCACTATTGAAATAACTAGTATAAGGGCAATATAAGTGTAACACAAAACCCACCCTAGGTTAAATTACATGTTTTTAAAATTGGTCCTACGTGCCCATCTACCCTCTTTCTGTGACTTTTCTCCAGACTTCCTGGTTCCCACTCCTTTCATACCTTAGGTGCTATTTCTGATATACATGGACCACCTCCTTCCACAGAGAAATAGTGAAGGTGACTGGATATGCTTCCTGGAGGTGGGAGGGTGGTGGGGAGAGGGTATGTGTATTAAGAGTAGAACTCTGGCCGAAACCGGGTTGGCTCAGTGGTAGAGCATCGGTCTGCGGACTGAAAGGTCCTGGGTTCGATTCCGGTCAAGGGCATGTACATTGGTTGTGGGCACATCCCTGGTTGGGGGTGTGCAAGAGGCAGCTGGTCGATGTTTCTCTCTCATCGACATTTCTAGCTCTCGCTCTCCCTTCCTCTCTGTAAAAAATCAATAAAATATATATATTTTTTAAAAAGAGTAGAACTCTGGAAGAATTTATCTTAATAATTTAACCTACCCTGTTTCCCCAAAAATAAGACAGTGTCTTATATTAATTTTTTCTCCCAAAGTTGCGCTAGGTCTTATTTTCAGGGAAACACGGTAATCGACAGACTGGAGCCACCATTTCTAGTTATGAAATTTAATAAAATTTATATTACTTTTTAAGATTAATTTTGGGAACATCAGCCTAATAAAAAAATTTTAAAATATATTTTATTGATTTTTTACAGAGAAGAAGGGAGAGAGATAGAGAGCCAGAAACGTCGATGAGAGAGAAACATTGACCAGCTGCCTCTTGCACCGCCCCCCACCAGGGATGTGCCCGCAACCAATGTACATGCCCCTGACCGGAATCAAACCTGGGACCCTTCAGTCCACAGACCGACCTTCTACCACTGAGCCAAACCAGTTTCAGCAACCTAATAAAATTTTGATTAAAGTATAAACAAAGACCAATTTTGAAAGGAAAAATAATAGGTGTAGGGAGTTTATAGTAAGGTGACCAGACGTCACGCTCTTGGCGGGACAGTCTCAATTTTCAACAATTTGTCCTGCGTCCCATGGTGT